TTTCCTTTACGTTGATACGTATGTCCTAAGAATATAGGCTCTTATTAGTCTGCAGATTGTTCTTAACTTGCAAAAGTACGTTCGAATTGGTATGATGAGTATTAGCAATTTTAAATTTAATGCCGAGTGCAGTGTATATGTGCTAACCAAAAGGATCATTACATTGTATTTAAGGAAATAAGTTCTATTAAGTGAGCAAATTACATGTATTCTCTTTTGAAAAAAAAAGTACATTGTAATGTCAAAAATACGTTCCAATTTGTCTTCTGTTTATTCTCATGTAAGATATTTTCATGCTGTGTACAATGAATGTGGGCTGATTACCGTGCAAATTTTTTTATAGACACAGCTCTTCTGGCAAAGCTTTCGTGGATGTCGTGAAAGTTGAATTAAGCGGTCTTTGAGCGCCAAATGTCCTTCATTCTTTTAAAGCCCTTTCCGAGCGGGGAGGGGGAACAGGGGACGATAGCCTGCGGGAGAACATGGGGCGGGAAGTGGGATCTCCAAGAGGGCAGAGAGCGGAACAAAAAACTGAACATTAGTCCATCGAAGATCTGGTTTATGCAATATCGCTCATTAAAATTGACATGACGGCATCGTATCAGTGTAAAATTGTATGTACAACTTTTAAACCTTTCTGCTGAGGTTTAAAAAGATTTGAACTTTTCGAACAAATCTAAATAGGTTTACAAACGAGATAATAAGCTGAAAAACTACTATCAATCATTATCCAATTATGGTCCGTAGAGTACAAATAACGTGTGAGACAAGTACAAGTATCACGCCCAAGGGAAATATTTGAAAGACTTGTGTTATTGTTTATTCGTTCGATGGCAAAGATCATGGCCTGCATGTGACCAAGTCCTCTTAAATATATCTCACCACATTGGCTCCCTAGTCGTTCTAGCTGCTGGTGTACATTGAAAAGTCCGGCTAACATGATATCACCTTCTCTGTAAGGAGCACAAGCAGCAGCATAAAAGAAGAAAAAAATAAGCACCTGGTAAAGTGAGGAGCTCAAGGCAATACGCCTCCTCTCTACGTTCCTTGTTAGCAAACGCAAAGCATAGACATTAAAGCGTTTACACTCAGGCTTATTTTGCACCAATGGTATTGATCAATGAATTCGCAATTCACCACGCATAGGTGAAGTATTCGTTTTGAACATCACTTCAAATTTGTCTTTTTTTCTGGCAGCACAAAATCTCCTTGTGTGCTTATGAACTCGATAAATATTTCGAAATAAAATGATCGTTTTATCATTTAAACTACTCATTAATATGTTACAAGTTAGTGATATTCGAAATGATTTTCCCGTGTAGGAGACGAATTTACTTCATTTCGAGAACATTTTCGGAAAAGTAATGTGTGCATAAAGACAAAATAAGGCACGGAGAAACGAAATAATAGGTCAATTAGGTACATCCATTCCTAGAAAGAACCAAGTATTCAAGTCAGGTCTTTAATTTCACGATATGACTGCGCAGAGCTTCAAATAATCAAACAATGCAAGCAAAAGTACAAATACAAAAAACAAGAAACAAAAAAAGAACCAAAAAGCCAAAACGAAACAAACCAACATAATACAAAACTAAAATGAAAGAACCAACATTCAAAAACCAAAAGGCAGAATACAGGTTTACAGCAATCAACCGACCTAATTTTTAACAACAATACCGAACTAAACCACAAATGTGAACCACACATGGAAACAGGAATTTTTTTTAAAAAAATTATGTACTCCGATGAGAATAATTTTTGTTCATTTGCATTTTTATAAAATACTACACTATTCAGGTTACAAAATGATCATGAAAGTTATGAAAATAATATACTACATATCAATGATTACGAATGTGGTAAAAAAGTATTCGTTGAGAACGGATTAAAGCAACAACGGCAATTCTCTGAAAATCCAACTGCTGATATTTCTATTTGGATGTAAAAGATCGTGAAAACACGAATAAATTTTCCATTAAAAAAAAAAAAAAAACAGATAGAGTCAGTGTCAGTATCCAGTATCCATCAGACTGCTCGCCTATACATATCTTGTTCTTTCCGGCCCACTTTTACCAAGATCAACGTAATGATTCAGCAACCGCCCACTTATATACCCATTTCATTGTTGTAACGCAATCCTCCCCAAAAAAACCGCCACCTAGCCAGAATTAAACCAAGGATAAAAAACAAAACACTCGATTGAAATTTTAGTCCTATTTCAGGCACGTCAATATCTACTCAAGTGTTTATGAACTTAATGAGTAGTTTAAGAATGGTACGATCTAATGACCACATGCCAATTCTTGACGGAACAAACACCCACTTGACCGTTCGAAGCAAGAATTATCTGGAATTCCTGCGCGACGAAAAACATATTTCTAGTAAATGACAATTATATAATGTGTTTTAGCATGTTCCAGTGTAGGAGAGAAAGCTAATTCCAAAAACGTTGTCGGGAACGTGGTGAATGCACGAAAAAAAATAAGAGTAATAATCATAATAATAAAAACACGGAAGAGCCAAATAGTAGTCTAACTAGGCATATCTAGTATTTATTTTTAGAAAGAACGAGGTATTCAAGTCAGATCATCAATTTCGCGATGTGGCAGAGCACAGCTTCAAATGATCAAACAAGCAAAATTACAAAAGAAAAACCAAAAAGTGAGACGAAACCGAAAAAAAAAAAAACATGACAAAAACTAGTCTTAAATGAGAGAACAAACATTCAAAAACAAGACCAAAAGGCTGAATGTAGGGTTACATCTAAGAACCAATCTAATGTTTAAAAGCAATATCGAACTGAACTACAAACATAAACACACACGGAAATAGGAATTTTAAACACACTACGTGCTCTGATGAAAATAACTTCGGTTCGTTTTCATTTTCATTAAATCCTGCACTATTCAGGTTACAAAACGATCATTCATTTAATATACATGATATAATACATATCAACAAATAAGAATTAGTGGTATTCATTGGTAACGGAGGGCATCAACTGTGGCAACCCTCCAGACTGCTGGATGCTGATAATTCCTATATGTGATTATAACATAGCTAGCAGAGCCACGCAATCAAATTCAGTATACGTAAGCGTGCTCAAAATCCCGATAGTGCACGCTGATAGCGTCAGCAAATCGCTTGGCCAGAATTTTTTTTTTGTTTCTTTTTGCGCGAGCGGCCATTGTTAGCGCGGGGAAAAATAATATATTTCGCGACAATAATGGATACAAACAGAGACTCGGCCTACTAGTCCCAACACGAAGACAATTTTTCGACCTTTTCCCTTGGGCTAGAGTTCTTAAATGAGGCAGAAAAAGAGAAAAACAT